TCCAGGAGGCCCGAAGCCAGCCCATTTCATGTACCAAAATTCAAGAAGTGGTCCCCCTGTGAAAACTATTGTCCACCCCAGGCAAGAAGGAGCTGAGGATGGAGGAGGGGGCAGAGATGCCCTATATAGTATGGCATGTGCATGCCACTACCTACAGGAACTGCCAAGGGAAAACCTTCCAGCACTGATATACATCGTGAGAGCACACACCTACATTGAATGGACACGAGCAAGCACTTGAACAGGGAGGATTTGGTTTGCAAAGTGCTAAACTCATCAGCATGTGAGTGCAGACATTGGGAACAATGCTTGCAAAAGAAGCTGTGGAACTACAAGGATAACGAGGCCTTTGCCAGGCAGGCCACAGAACACATGGATGGGATGTCAGAGGAACTGATGGAGACCCTCAAGTTTCTAGTCAAACAAAACAGTGAAAATTCTGTGCCCAAGAACCATCCGTCTACAGTATCACATACCTTTCCAAACCACCCCACACTGATATCAGTGAAGAGTCCATGGTGACCCACAAGCACTTGCAGCACCATTGAGAAGTAGCCCTTCCTGTTGATATACTCTGCAGCACATGAGCTGGTGCTAAAATCAGAATGTGTACCATCTATTTTCCTTCCCCATAGTTGGAAAATCCCATGTCTGCAAATCCAGCCACTGTTTTATAGACATTTCCCAGAGTCACGGTTCTCCATAGTAGATCACAATCTATTGTCCTGAAAACTTGCAGCAGTACAGGACCAATATAGGCTTTCTAATTCCAAACTGTTATGCAACTGACTGGTAGCAATCGTCAGTTGTCCGCTTCCACAAAACAATGGTCACAAGCTTCTTAACTGAGAAGGCAGCTCTTGTTCTGGTGTTCTTCTGCAGCAGGTTGGGAGCTAGCTCTGCATGCAGCTCCAGGAAGTTGCTTTAGAATCACAGAACACTAGAAACGGAAGGGACCTCGAGAGGTTATTCAGTCCAGTCCTCTTCCCTCATGGCAGGACCCAGTACCGTCTAGACCATCCCTGCTCGATGTCTATCTAACCTGCTCTTACATATTTCTAGAGATGGAGATTCCACAACCTCCCTCAGCAACTTATACCTGTTTCTAACCACCTGACAGTTAGGAAGTTTTTCCTAATGTCCAACCTAAACCTCCCTTGCTGCAGTTTAAGCCCATTGCTTCTTGTCCTAACCTCAGAGGCCAAGGAGGACAATTTGCCTCCCTTTTCCTTGTGACACCCTTTTAGATACCTGAAAACCACTATCATGTCCCCTCTCAGTCGTCTCCTTCCCAAACTCAATAAGCCCAATTCTTTCAGTCTTCTTTCAGAGGTCATGTTGTTAAGACCTTTAATCATTCTTGTTGCCCTTCTCTGGATCTTCTCCAATTTCTCCGCATCTTTCTTGAAATGTGGTGCCCAGAACTGGACACAATACTCCAACTGAGGCCTAATCAGTGCAGAGTAGAGCAGAAGAATGACTTCTCAGGTCTTGCTCACAACACTCCTGTTAATGCATCCCAGAATCATGTTTGCTTTTTTTGCAACAGCTTCACACTGTTGACTCATATTTAGCTTGTGGTCCATGATGACTCCTGGATCCCATTCTGTAGTACTCCTTCTACCTAGACTGTATGTGTGACACCCTTTGTTCATTCCTAAGTGGGGTACTTTGCATTTGTCCTTATTAAATTTCACTCTATTTACCTCAGACCATTTCTCCAGTTTGTCTAGATCATTTTGAATTATGACGCTGTCCTCCAAAGCAGTTGCAACTCCTCCCAGCTTTGTATAATTTGCAAATTTAATAAGCATACTCTCTATGCCAATATCTAAATCGTTGTTGAAGATATTGAAAAGAACTGGTCCCAAAACAGACCCCTGCAGAATCCAACTTGTTATGTCCTTCCAGCAGGATTGTGAACTGTTATCTACTCTGAGAACGGTTATGCAGCCAGTTATGCACCCACCTTATAGTAAACCCATCTAAGTTGTATTTGCCTAGTCTATTGATAAGAAGATCATGCGAGACTGTATTAAATGCCTTGCTAAAGTCTAGGTATACCACATCAACCACTTCTTCCTTATCCACCAGACTCATTATTCTATCAAAGAAATCTATCTGATTGGTCTGACATGATTTGTTCTTTACAAATCCATGCTGGCTGTTACCTAGCACCTTATCTTCCAGGTGTTTGTATAGGAATTCCTTAATTACTTGCTCCATTATCTTTCCGGGCACAGAAGTTAAACTGACTGGTCTGTAGTTTCCTGGGTTGTTCTTATTTCCCTTTTCATAGATGGGTACGATATTTGTCCTTTTCCAGTCTTCTGGAATCTCTTCCATCTTCTATGATTTTTCAAAGATGATAGCTAAAGGCTCAGATACCTCCTCTATCAGATCCTTGAGTATACTAGGATGCATTTCATCAGGCCCCAGTGACTTGCAGACATGTAACTTTTCTAAGTGATTTTTATCTTCTTTTTTTATTTTATCTTCTAAACCTACCCCATTCCCACTAGTATTCACTGTGTTAGGCATTTCTTCATCATCAGACTTCTCGGTGAAGACCGAAACAAAGTCATTAAGCATCTTTGCCCTTTCCAAGTTTCCTGTTATTGTTTCTCCCTCCTCACTGAGTAATAGGACTAATCTGTCTTTAGTCTTCCTCTTGCTTCTAATATATTTATAGAAAGTCTTCTTGTTTCCCTTTATGTCTGTAGCTAATTTGAGCTCGTTTTGTGCCTTTGCCTTTCTAATCTTGCCCCTGCATATCTGTATTGTTTGCTTATATTCATCTTTGGTAATTTGTCCTAGTTTCCACTTTTTATATGACTCTCGCCATGCTTTTTTAATCTTTCCTATGCAGCGGAATAGCTTGCTTTTGGGTCCTTAATAATGTCCCTTTGAAAAACTACAGACTCTCTTCAGTTGTTTTGCACTTGTGTCTTGCTTCCTAATGAACCTTACCTACCTAATGTTCTGTAGCCACTGCTCTTCATCGCACATCTTCATGATGATGCAATCCCACCACTTAGTGCTAGTTTCTCTAGTCTAAAAACACCAAACTACCTTGGATGGCTGCTTTGTGACTGCCAAATGCAATGACAGATTGCTGCTGTCCATATTGGACACTCTGTCAGGCTCCTCCCAGTCTTCTTCCTCTGTCAGTGATTGTAAGATGATCTCTGCTGCCATGCATGAGGTTCTCATGACACTTAACAGTGCATGCAAGAGAAGTGCGGGATCCATTCTCTCTCTGCCAATGCCAGAAATATACAGCAGAGAGTGGCAGCTGGAAAAAATGGTGTGCAAGGATGCCAGAAGTCCATGAGCAAAGCAGTGCCTGACTGGAGGTTCTGCACAGCCCCTAGATGCCCCACACACTGTTCTGTGTTTCCACAACACTTAGCAACAGATGGTGTTGCTAGGCACTGTGGGATATATACCCACAGTGCATTGCTCCCAGTGTTGACGGGGGAGCTAAAAATGTGAACACTAGCTAACAAGAGGGAACATGTATGAACACGCTTTGATGCTGTAGATTTCTGTGTGTCAGCATTAGTTTCCTTGACAAAACTTGGTAGTGTAGACATAGCCTCGCCTGATTTTGTGAAGCTACACTATTAATGAGCCTTGACAGAAAAATGATCCAGCTATTTTCACCACAGGAATCTATTTTTTCTAACATACCTCATGCATGAAGAGCCTTTTTTGTTGGTTTGTTTTGGGGTTTCTTTGAGTTTAGCAAAACCTAGATGGCTTGTCATGCTAATAAAACCTCACTGAATTGAGCTGAATTGATACAGAGTGCTAATCTGCAAATGGAATGTTCATTTGCATACAATTCTTCTGTCCATCAAAAGGGAGCACAGACTCCTCACCCACCTCTGTCTATTAACCCAGAAGACACCGAACTATTACCTATGTGCCAACAGGTAGATGGCTCACAAGCTAATCCACTATCCCTCCCTTCAGGGAACAATAATTTTAGATCTTGGGGGATGTCTATCAATCTCATACTAATGAATACAAGACCCAGGGATAAGAATCCTGCCCAGACAATTTTTAGAGATGGGAACCATCTCTTTAGGTCTGTAGGTATTCTTCATACATTCATAAAAGAAGGGGAGGAGGAGTGAAAAATCCTGCCTGGATCTTCTCCCAGAAATCCTCCTTTATTTCTTTCTGTTATGCATGAGCTATATTTATGCGTGTCTGAACTGGGTTATTCAGGAAGATTGGTAAGATGAGGGCTGTTTTTGCTAAGTTCTGTGTATATCTATGAAACATTTCATGAATAATTTTACAAAGAATTCTGTGGAACACAAGAACTGAATCTTCATCTGATTTTCCAATTTAGTTACAAATCACAAGTAACAGTGGTCTAGTAGGTTCGTGACAATACAACACACTGAAAACAACTGCTACTCAGAGTCTCTGTATAATATATAAAATCTATTAAAGAACATGGTTTTGATATTAACTGATGAAGTAGAAATATACAATAATGACAACAATGCAGTGTTATCAGACTGTTGCACTCACAGCTGAAACTTTACTTAGGCAAAAATGTAGATTTGACAAAACCAAAAAATTCTCATCAGTCATACTAAATTGACCCAAAACTGTTCTTAATTTTTTAAATTTACATTGAACCCAACCTCCCTTCCCAATTATTCACAGAATTCTTCTTTTAACTCACGCATATGTGGTGTGGTGCTCTGTCCCCCAGTAGTAGGTAGGCCACGCAGAAGTTGATGAGCCTGCACCAGCACTGCTTTAGGAAAGTTCGATCTTTTAACTCAAGGGGCACATGTACTCAGATTCAGAGACCCCAGGTTTTGATATCAGCTACCAATAGGACATGGATTGAAATAGGAGTGTGGTATTTCACATTTCCAAAACAAACTGTGCCTTTCAGATATATTTTATGCCTTTTAAAACACTCAACATACTACTGAAATGTCATTTACACTGGATGAATGGGAACTGCTTACCTCATCGTAGTAGACTCTCAAGTCTGCTCTTTTCGATTTCAAGTCCCAGAGTACTACCGTCCCATTTTCATAGCCTATTAATAGCTAGGGAGAAAAATAAACATGATTATCTTCTCAACACTAAAATGCATTTAAAATATTTAAGCTCTCTATGGTTTTGTATTTTTCTCTACAATAAAGTTTCTAGCCCTCTTCCATGCACAGAGACCAGAAAATAATTTCAGGTTTGGTAGAAATAATTATTCACCAGACAGAAAAGTCTTCTTTTAGTTAGAGAACAAGATTGAGTATGGACAGTAAGAACAGTTAAAATTAAGTGCATTAGAATTATTTGGTAGAAATGTAGTGTACAAAGCCACATTTCTGAATATAACAATGACATTTTCATAGTCAATGAACACAACAGTAGGAAAATCAGAGTGGCATATTGGATTGTGATGACCTTTGTAAGGTTCTCTGAAGACTCTGACCATCCTTGGGAAGTTTACCTGGAAGTCGATGACCTG